TGTCCCTATGTATGTATGGATGTATGGATGCATGTACGCATGTATGTATGTGTATGTATGCGTATGCATGTTCATGCACGTGTCTGTATGCATGCGTGCACATTTGTACGCATGTATGTGTGTATGAATGTGTGTATGTCTGCATGTCCGTATGCATATCGTTATGCATGCATGTGTGTATACATGTATGTTTGTATGTACGTGTGCATGTAGGTAGGTAGGTAGGTAGGCAGACAGGCAGACAGGCAGGTAAGTGTATATATATATATATATATATATACGGTCTCTATGTATATTAGATGCACATGCGGTCTCTCCCCGCCAGGGCTCCGCCAGCTCCGATAGCATCGGCGGCAAATCCCTGGTGCCACCCTCCTGGGAGCTCCCAGAGGGCCTGAAGACGGATCAGGACGCTCCCGAGACAGCCCGAGAGTGTTCCAAGGCTGTTCAAGCAGGCCACCCGACGGCTCTGGAAGCCCCAAGGAGCATTCAATATCGCCCCAAGAGGCTTCCAAGAGTTCCCCAAGAGTTCCCAAAAAGCCCTCGAGAGGCCAAATTCATAGAAAAACCATCGGGAAATGACTGCTTTCCTGTTTCCTCGCACTTCCGCATCTAACATGCTTCCGAGGCTTGCGCATGCCTCCCAAGAGAGCTCCAATAAGCTCCCAAGAGGCGTCCAGAGCGGCGCGACGTGTCTCCAAGAGGCCACAAGAGTTCCCCATGACGCCCGAATGGGTTCCACCGAGGCCCCAAAGACGCTCCGAACAGGCCCAACGAGCTCCCAGGAGCCGGCCCGGAGGCACCCAGCGCCGAAGAGGGCCCCGAAAGGCTCTCAAGAGCTCCCAAGAGGCCCCCAGGTGAGCAATACAAATATCACAACTTTCCTTAAGTTTTTGCTGAGATTTTGGCCTCTCTAGGGCTTCCCCGGAGCTCTTGGGGCACTCTTGGAGGCCTCTTGGGCCGATCTTTGGTGCTCTTGGGGGTCTCCAGAGCCAACTTGAATAAAAGGGAATTCTAAACATCATTTTTTTTAAGCTCGACTACCCCCACCCTCCGTTCCCCAGAGTGCGTTTCCGTTTCCACCATCCCTCGTTGTTTGTTCTTTTCGTTGTTTGTTTTTGTTGGTTCTTGTTTTCTGTTTATTTTCATTTTTTAATGTATTTCGTTCTCTCTCTCTCTCTGTCTCTCTCTCTCTCCTGCTCCTTGTTTCTCCTGTGTCTCCCGTTCCACATCCTTCTCCTTCCTCTCTTTCTCCTTCTTCCCCGCTGCGTTATATTTCCTTCTCCCTCCTTTCGGTCCTTCCTTCATTTTTTTGTTTTGTTTTTATAGTTTTTTTTGTTGTTGTGTTTTTTTTTTTGGTTTTGTTTTTGTTGTTGTATATATATATATATATTCTCTCTCTCTCTCTCCGCCTCCTTCATGCGATTCCGTCTCCCCCATCCCTCATCCTCATATACCCTTTCTTTTCCTGCCTCCCTCCGCCTCTCTCGCCCAGCATCCTGCTCCGCTATGTGGTAGGAGACTCAGCCTGATAATTACCCTGGCGACGTACCCAACCCCTGCGCAATGCGGGGCATGAGTAGCTTGGGAGTCGTTATACGGAGGTGATGACGTGACATGGGCGCATATATTTCTGCGAGCGGCATTCGTGAGGCTCGCAGCCCCCCATGGATTGCCATGTCCCGCTCAGATCTGCCTGGTGCCTCGCTCCGCTGGACCCACCAGCAGCCCTCGAAAATGGCGACAGTTTCGCAGATCGCAGCCCCCCCAGGGACGGCGAGGTCCCGATCAGGTCCGCGCGGTGCCTCACTCCGCAGGACCCACCAGCAGCCCTCGAAAGTGGCGACAGTTTCGCAGATCGCAGCCCCCCAGGGACGGCGAGGTCCCGTTTGGGTCCGCGGTGAGTACCCTCTCTGCTGTCCTCCCCAGCAGCCTTAGAAAGTGGCGACAGTTTCGCAGATCGCAGCCCCCCAGGGACGGCGAGGTCCCGTTTGGGTCCGCTGTGAGTATCCTCTCTGCTGGCCTCCCCAGCAGCCCTCGAAAGTGGCGACGGTTTCGCAGATCGCAGCCCCCCAGGGGCGGCGAGGTCCCGTTTGGGTCCGCGGTGAATGCCATTCTCTGCTGGCCTCCCCAGCAGCCCTGGAAAGTGGCGACGGTTTCGCAGATCGCAGCCCCCCAGGGGCGGCGAGGTCCCGTTTGGGTCCGCGGTGAATGCCCTTCTCTGCTGGCCTCCCCAGCAGCCCTCGAAAGTGGCGACAGTTTCGCAGATCGCAGCCCCCCAGGGACGGCGAGGTCCCGTTTGGGTCCGCGGTGAGTACCTTCTCTGTTGGCCTCCCCAGCAGCCCTCGAAAATGGTTACAGTTTCGCAGATCGCAGCCCCCCAGGGACGGCGAGGTACCGTCTGGGTCCGCGGTGAGTGCACTCTCTGCTGGCCTCCCCAGCAACCCTCGAAAGTGGCGACAGTTTCGCAGATCGCAGCCCCCCAGGGACGGCGAGGTCCCGTTTGGGTCCGCTGTGAGTATCCTCTCTGCTGGCCTCCCCAGCAGCCCTCGAAAGTGGCGACGGTTTCGCAGATCGCAGCCCCCCAGGGACGGCGAGGTCCCGTTTGGGTCCGCGGTGAGTGCCCTCCCTGCTGGCCTCCCCAGCAGCCATCGAAAGTGGCGACAGTTTCGCAGATCGCAGCCCCCCCCAGGGACGGCGAGGTCCCGTTTGGGTCCGCGGTGAGTACCCTCTCTGCTGGCCTCCCCAGCAGCCCTCGAAAGTGGCGACAGCTTCACAGGTTGCAGCCCCCCAGGGACGGCGAGGTCCCGTTTGGGTCCGCGGTGAGTGCCCTCTCTGCTGGCCTCCCCAGCAGCCCTCGAAAGTGGCGACAGTTTCGCAGATCGCAGCCCCCGCAGGTCGCAGCCCCCCAGGGACGGCGACCACAGGGGGGGCGGGAAAAGGAGGACGCGACCACACCCCTCTATTCGAAACGAATACCCAACCAAGGAGGGTTGGGAAAAAACAGGAGCTCCCTCAACTATTTTTTAGAAGACCCAGCTTGACACATACAGGGGAACCCCCCTTTGTTTCCTCCTGTGCCAGGCTTTGGCGTGCCCCCGAGTGCGTTTCCGTTTTCCCCATCCTTCGCTGTCCGTTATCTCTGATCTCTCTTTTTGCTCTTGCTTCTCCTGCGTCTCCCGTTCCACATCCTTCTCGTTTCTCGCCTCCTCCCTCCTCCCCCCGCTGCTTCATTTTCCCTCTTCCCCCTTCCTCGCCTCTCCGTCACGCCTTCCTCCCTCCGCCGCGGTAGCCACTTTGGCTGAGGCGCCATCTCCCGCGCCCAGCATCTTGCCCCACTATGTGGAGACACAGCTTTAAAACAAAGGAAATCCCTCACATCCCTTTCCGTTTTCAAGGTCGACCCCATTCTACATTTCGAGCCCAGACGCCAAGAGCACCAGGGAGGCCCCCGAGGCGCGCCCAAGAATTCCGAAGAGGCCACCAGGAGAGCCCCAACAGAAACCGAAGAGACCCCCACCCCCCAGAAATCCCCCAAGAGAGTCCTCCAAGAATGTCCCCCAAAGGCATCCGCAGAGACTCCCGGCATAGTCTTGCCAGTCCGTTAGGGGCTCCCGAGCATCCCCCCTTGGGCTGCCCTGGGTCCTCCACGTGGCTGCCTTGTGTGCGCCTTCCTGGAGCCCTCAGCCCTCCTGGGCGCTCTCCAAACGACAGCCGGGGGACCCGCCCTGCACGCGTACCCATGGCGCGAACTCGTGCTGCACGTCGCCTCCATTGGTAAAGTGCGCCCCGCGTCATCTGTCTGGTGCCGCGTGTCGTGCAACATCTTCACGCTTCCCAGCACGGCACAGTACGGCCTGGGGGATCCCCAATGCCGCGCCCGATACGGCTTCGACTGACCTTGGCAGCCCTTGGATGGTTTGAGTTGTTCGATGGATTGTTCCTCAGGGTTACCAGGGGACCTCCCAAACACCTCCGAGATAGTTCGAGGGAGGGGCCCTCGAGAAGCCCAGAAGATCTTGCAGACCGCTGAAGACGGTCCACAGGCCACGAGCCTCCCGAAGCCTCCCCAAAATTACTTTCGGGCAGCTGCTCGGTGTATATTTTTAGAGCAGCAGGGTCTCTGAGGGCCTGCTTATTCAGCGACTCCTGGACCGTGCCTCAGGAAGTACGTTCCCGTACGGTGACCCTTGCGGGATGATATCCATTCTCTTCCGATCCTATGAAATTGGCTTGGGCTGCCCTTTCTACCTCTCTCTCTGCCTGGGCTGCCTGCATGTCTGTCTGTCTGTCTGTCCGTCCATCCGTAGTTTTTTTTTTTTTTTTTTTTTTTTTTTTTTTTTTTTTTTGTCTTTTTTTCTTTCTCTCTCTCTCTCTCTCTCGTTCTCTCTCTCTCTCTCTCGTTCTCTCTCTCGTTCTCGTTCTCTCTCTCTGTCGTTTTTTTTTTTTTGTTTTTTTTTTTTTTTTTTTTTTTTTTTTTTTCTCTCTCTCTCTCTCTCTCGTTCTCTCTCTCTCTCTCGTTCTCTCTCTCGTTCTCGTTCTCTCTCTCTGTCGTTTTTTTTTTTTTTTTTTTTTTTTTTTTTTTCTCTCTCTCTCTCTCTCTCTCGTTCTCTCTCTCTTGCTATTCCCATCCCGTCACACGCGCCAGCGTTCGTGCCATCTTTCCCCGCGCCACGCTCGGGCCCGAGGCGCACGTCCCGCCGCTCCCGCCTCCGCTCGCTGCTGCTCTCTCTGCCGCGTCGTGCCCGCTGCTGCTTCGAGCCCAGACATGCGGCGTCTTGTTTTTTTCAATGAATGCGCCCCCTGTAAGTTCCGACCCTTTCCGCAGGACCAGTTTTTCACCCCGAGCCGTTTTGTCAAAGCTCCAGCGCCCGGCGAGGGCCCCCAGAGGCCGAAAGTGGCCGAAGCTTCCCGTCGTGATTTTTTACTCGAGGGGGTCTGGGTCCGCTGCTGCTTCGAGGCGCGTCTCTCGTGCCCCCCCCCTCCCCGCAGCCCTTCAGGAAGAGCCAGCCTGGGAGCGCCCTGCTGGTCACGGAGATGGTGCCCACGGCAGACGGCAGGTTCACCATATGGAAGTCGGGAGCGGCCAAGAGAGGGAGGATGACTAGGGGGGTGGATCTCATGGCCGGGGCCATGATACCTCCCCAGATTTCATGGCGCCTCTTCCTGTGCCAATGCATCCCTTGGCCCCCCCTGGGCCGCGCACATGCGTGCCTCGTGTCATGATTTGCCAAGTCCGCTCTTGGACGCCCCCCTCTTGAACGCCCCCGAGGAAGGCAAGGCTCGCCGAGGCAGGGGCGCGCGGCGCTGGTGTGCAGCAGGCGCCGTGCCCGCTTCCCCAGACGGGCTCGCGACGACAACGGGGGCTCTTCGGCAATTTTTGAGCCTCGGGGGGCCTTGGCAGGGCGGCCCTGGGGCTGTCAACGAAGGACTCGGGAGGGAAAACCGGTCCCTGCACGGGAAGGGGTCGAGACCTCCAGGGGTCCACGCTGTGAGCAAGTCACGACATCGGAGGTCTGGGCTTCCCTCCGCTTTTGGAGAGGGTTTCCGTACGCCACCGCCATGCCTGGCCAGGGCCATCCTCGTCCTGAGGCTGGTGTGTGCAGACCCTCCTGGCTTCGGCCAGTAGGGCGCATGCACCATGCCAGGGCCCTTGTGCATCTGGCGCCCGTGTGGCCGTGGTGCAAACTGCGTGGTGCCGTACGTGTGTGGTGGTGTATCTATGTGTGTGGTGCTGTATTTATGTGTGTGTGTGTGTGTATCTGTATCTATGTGTGTGTGTGTGTCTGTGTGTGTGTGTGTGCGTGCCGTCGCCCTTCTCCTGTCTCTGCTCCGGCTTCGGCTTCTCCCCCTGCCCTTCCGCCCTGTTCGCTTCCCTCTCGGGCCTCACCCCTTTCCCGCTCCTGCCCGTTCCTGCCTCCATTCTCGCGTCCGCGTCCGCCGTCGCTCTCGCTGCTCTGGCGCCGCTTCTCCCAGTCCCCCTCGTCTTATCCGCTTGCTGCTCGCACGCGCCCACTGTGTCCTCCGCGACGCGAGGCGCGTGGCCGCCGAGGCAGAGGCCTCCCTTGCTCGCTGCACCCAGCACTGTGCTCTGCCGCTGGTCATCGCTTACGGCACATACAGTGTGCCACGCAGTGTTTCTTCCCAAAAAGCAAATCGACTCTACCCCCCTGGCTTGATCGACCTCCCGCGTGATAGTTCAATTTACATATATTTTGTGTTGCCGTTCATGTTGAATTCGTCGTACCATCCCACGGAGTATCTTTATCGGCCCCTCATCCTTGTCATGGTATCATGGGCGCGCATTCGTTTAGCAAAACAAGCAGTTGTCAATACTGCTTGGCAACAGACAGTCGTGGCGCGAGCGTGTCGGAATCCTTCGAACGCCTTTCTGGATCCGTGCGGCTTTCAAAACCGAGGTGTTCGAACGCATATCGAATTTAATCGTTGCCCAACCACTGTTTTTAAGCAAACATTGGACCACCAACATTTTCTTCAAAACCATGTGGGCATCTTGCGCGCGCGTGTCGGGATCATTTGAATGTCCTTGCTCGCATGCTGAGGAGGTGGGGGCGACCTATGTCAAATGTTAGCATGCGGGCCACTCGCTCCCGTCGGCCGCGCGCGCATGCCGAAATCCTTCCAACCAACGACGCATGAACATCATCATCGTCATCGGCGTGACCATCATCGGCGCTGTCATTGGCCTTTTTCGTCACCGCCACCATCGTCGCCACCATCGCTACTATCATCATCGCTGTCGTTTGTGACGACGTCATAATGATACCGCGCCCGCCCCTTCCACCGACCCGCAGTGAAGTGCCCGCGCGCCAGCGCGGCGTTTGACGCGCGCGTTGGCGTTCCCATCAGTTAGCGCCACCGCGGCCACGTCGGTTGCGCCACACCAGGTGGGCGCTCTGCGCGCGAGCTTGCGCGCGCTAGCGCGGCCGCAGCCGTTGCCAACCAATCATTGCAATCGCCGCCGCATGGGTTCTGCAAACCAAGTTGCGGGTGGGAGGGTTGTGATTGCGCGAGCAGTGGAGTTGACACATCTAAGCTCTGCAAGGTATCGCTTGCACCGTGTCGATTCTCCTGTCGTCTGAAATTTGTATAGACTATAGGGTCGACCCCCAGTGAATTAACGCTCCCCTTGGGACATCGCAGATTTCAGATTGCGAATTTGCATCTTCGAAAAGCGATTCAAACATGGTTCTGCACCATTTTTTTGCATCGGACTCTGTACGATTCCATGGGGTACCCTGGTCGCCCGTGCATCGCAGCCAACTAATACTATGCGCACGCATTCGTTTATCACTCACACACACATATTTTCGCCAATCGATACCATGCAACAAGTAGGACAACGTCCACGCGCGCGTTGTTGCGCGCGCGTGTCGCAATCAGTCCAACACCTTGGGCGCCGTGCGGGTTCCAATGTCGAGGTTTCCGGAATTATATATGAAAACGTGGTTTCGCAAGATGTTTTGGTTGATTTCATCCATATTTATACACATGTAAGACGCGCGCGCGGGTGCGAGCTCTTATGGCACGAGCATGAACAAACTCTGCAACATCTGTTGATAAAGAGCAGATTCTTCACATGGACCACGCGGGCTTCTCACGCGCGCATGTTCGAGTCATTCGGACATCCTTGCGCGCTCGCTGGTGGTGCTGGGTGGGGGGACGGGGGCACGATCCTTGTTGAATGATATTCTGCGGGCCACTTGCGCGCGTCGGCCGCGAGCGCATGTCGCAATCCTTCCAGCACCCTCACCAGCGATACGTGGACATCAGCCTCGTCATCGGCGTGGCCAGCATCGCCGCCGTCATTGACCTTGCCGTCGTCATCGCCGCCATCGTCGCCACCATCGCTACTATCATCATCGCTATCGTTTGTGATGACGTCATCATGACACCGCGCCCGCCCCTTCCACCGACCCGCAGTGAACTGCCCGCGCGCCAGCGCGGCGTTTGGCGCGCGCGTTGGCGTTCCCACGTCGGTTGCGCCACACCAGGTGGGCGCTCTGCGCGCGAGCTTGCGCGCGCTAGCGCGGCCGCAACCGTTGCCAACCGACTTCCACTGGAGTGCCCGCGCGCGGCTTGTGAGAAGCGGTGGGGTGTCCCCACCAAGCGCTGCGGCGTCCCCGTCGGCCAGCGCCGCCGCGGGCGCGTCGGCTGTGCCAAGCTGACTGAACGCTCTGCGCGTTAGCTCTG